GGAAAAGAGTACCTGAGCAATATTCAGATTCTTTGGTCCAGCAGTTCCTTTTCTAAAACCTTATCCCTGGGCTAAGGATGCAGCTCAGTGGTAGAGCTTGTGCTTGCATGAGGACCTGGGTTCCCTCCCTAGCACCAAGAAAAGAAAAAGGTGTAGTAACAGATCTATAACAGCAGATCCTAGGGAGGCTAAGGTAGAAGGGTCACAATTTCAAGGTTGGCCTGGAAAGCATAGGACTTAGGGAAATCTTTCCCCACCCTGCAAAAGGGCTGGAAGTATGGCTCAGTGGTAGAACACTTGCATGGCACGTACAATATCCTGGGTTCAATCCCTAGTACCACAAAAAACAAAAACTAACTTATTCCAGTACTATGATTATAGATGAAACTAAGGTAAGATGATAATTATAGTATTATTTGAAATAATAAAAACCTGGAAATGATGCAAGTACTATACCACTGAGCTATATCTCTAGCAGCAAACACTCATTAATAGAGGACTGGCTGAATAATGTTTCCTTTCCCCATCTTTTTTCTTTTCTTCCTTCCCTCCATTATCCATCCCTCTCCCTTCCTTTATTCCTTGTTTCTTTCATCTTTCTCCTTCCTTCCTTCCTTCCTTCCTTCCTTCCTTCCTTCCTTCCTTCCTTCTTTCCTTCCTTGTGCTCTGGGGATTGAACTAATAGCTTCATACATGCTAGGCCAGCACTTTACTGCTAAGCTATACCCCCAATCCCTTGTTGAATAATTAATGGTCCAAAATAATTTTGTGTTACTAAAAAGTATGGGTTAAATCTGCACTTTTGAATATGGGAAAAAAAACATGAAGATATTGCTAGGTTTGTAAAAGAAGAAAGGAAACAAGAGGCTAAACAATGTGTACCTTATTTTTCCATATATATACAGCAAAACCCCACAACACATGTTTGTCTATACATTGAAAATTTTTGGAAACATTAAGAAATTGTTAGAAATAGATACCTTTGAGAATGTGACTTAAGACTTTGGAATAAGAGAAAGATTTATTTTTCATTGTGTGTTCTGTTGCCTGAAAATTTAAAATTGTGCTATGTATCATTGAAATTACCAAAGAAAAAGTTATTTGAAAAAACAAGGATTTTCTATATGTCAGCTATTGTGATTACAGCATAATGTTTGTGACAATCATATATGTTTAACAGAACATATTAAAGCATTAAGCATATAGAACATATACAAAGGTGGTTTTTAAAAAATTCAATGTGTAATGACAACACTTCATTGGGAAAGATTCATGCTTTTAGCATAGGTTGTCAGTACCTAACTGTGACAAGAAGTTTCTGACTTGTTCTCTGTAGCATATGTGCTTTCAAGATTTCATCTACACATTGAAAACTTTTGGAAACATTAAGAAATTGTTAGAATGGATACCTTTGAGAATGTGACTGAAGACTTTGGTATAAGAGGAAAATTTATTTTTCATTGTGTGTTCCCCTGTTGCCTGAAAATTTAAAATTGTGCCATGTATCATTGAAATTACTGAAGAAAAATTATTTGAAAAAACAGTGTCTTCAGCCATTTTACCTTTGTGGTAAGGAACCACTCACATTTTAGCCTTGCGAGATAACTGCAAATGAGTGAGGAGTAATGTTTATATCTTTTACCTACCAATCTTGCTACCAGGTATGGGATAGAACTATCAATAATGTACAAAGGCAGCCATGCAAAACAGTGAAACTTAAAAACGAATTTTGGCTGAGTAATTTCTCCAATTATAAAAAAATAATATCTATTCTTTGTAGAAAGTACAGAGAAGTATAATTTACACTATGTTTACAGAAATTTTTGAAGGTATGAGCACAAATGGAGAGTTTCTTCTAATTTTTGTATTTTTTTTTTCCACTTAAGGAGAATTTGGACAGGGATAGGGTCTTAAGTATAAATTCCTTATACAGTATACACATAGGATATCTGCAAAAACATGTAAGAAACTAGAAATGTTACTCCTGAGTAGGAGAACTAGGAGACTTGGGAAGAGAGATCAAATATGGAAGGGACAGTTTTGATAATACTTGAGTATTATTAATTTATTTTGCCACATAATTTAAAACTAAACAAAAACATTATGTGAACTTTTAAAAGACTACAAAACTTTCATATTATTATTGACATCTAAGTTGTTTCAAGACAAGGAGAAATGACTATACCCACATTCTTCCCCGAGTGATGAATGTGAGACCAAAGCGACTCCATTTTGCTAAAATCCACCATTCCCCTAGCCTCTCAAATTAATGGTTAAAATGTGTTCACTCTGGAACAAAAGATACAATCTGTAACAAACCAAAGTTCCTAAGTTAATTACTCAGCCATCTGTTTACCCAGGAAATGAACATCCTGGGCCCACTATCTGTAGGAACCGTCTGTCAATGTGCTGACTGTCAGTGCTGGGTGGTCGTGACCATTAGTCACCGTGTCTGCTGACCATCAATACGTGACAGTTGCCCACTAACCTTTGTCCTTCTTTTCTTTTGTAAAACCTATACATAATGCCCCCTTACCCCTGATGAGTTCAGCCAATCAAAAATGTACACTTCATGCTCACTAAATGTTAACCAATCATGTAACTGCTAAGTGGAAAATCTCCAAACCTTGCTGTAACCTCTATAAAAACCCTGCTAATTTGGAACTCAGGGCTCTCAATCTCAATCCACTGTGTCGGTGACAATTGAGAGTCCCTGCTTAAGTTTGAATAAACGACCCTCATGTGCTTACATCGGAAACGGCCTCCTGGTGGTCTTTGGGACCTTACAATCTGGGCACAACAATGAACAGCAGTGATTGATATTCTAAATAGGCATTCATCACCTTGAGTAGGGGACCAAAATCTCTATAGACCATTCCTTCCAGGAAAAGTTCTTGCTCAGTTCATGAATGCTTGTTATGTGACTTGCTTCCTCCTTTGATCCCTGTTTAATCAATATTACCTAAGTGACTATACTTGTAATCTTGCTGGCTGACCATGGTTTTGTCCCATCTTATTCTTACCTTGTGATTTTCCATTAGATCAATATTGCCTAAGCAATTAGACTTGTAATCTTATTAGTCGACTATAGTTTTGTCCCACCTTGAACCTGCCTCATCTTGTGGCTTTGCACTAGAAAACTCTCTTGAGAAGCAGGGTCTGTGGGCAACCCACTTTCCAGGACCTCTTCTGTCTCACTTACATAGCTATTTTTATCTCAATAAGTACTTCCTACTCTTAACCTCTGTTGTTCCTAGAATTCTTCCATTTTAGAGAACATCAACTCGGACATCTAGCAGTAGTTGGAAGTTATAATATTTCCCTTATATTATTTCCTTCTATTATTTGGAGGTCCATATATCATCCCTATATCATATGCCCTATATCTATATGAATCATCTAATCTTTTTTGGTACTGGGGATCGAACTCGGGACCTTGCAGTTACTAGGCAAATGCCGGAAACATTGAGCTAAAAATCCCTGGCCTGAATCATCTAATCTGTGTGTGTGTGTGTGTGTGTTTGTGTGTGTGTGTGTGTGTGTGTGTGTATGTATGTGTTGCTGGGGATAGAATCCAGGGCCTCATGCATGCTAGGCAAGTGGTCTACCACTGAGCTACACTCCCAGCTTCATAGTCATAATTTTTATGTGGAAATGTGAAATAAAAGTAAAACCTCCTACGAAATCATCCATCAAATGAAAATAATTTAATTAGAGCATACAAGAAATATTATTTCCACTTAAAGAACCAGACAAAAAAGAAAAAACTGGATTTAAAAAAAGGCACAAATGAACTTGAAAAAATAGAATAAAGGACAGTGAAATTCATGAATGAGAGGGAGAAAAAGGATGACTTTCCAGAGGACTTGAAAGGTTTCCTTACCCTGAGGCTATGCAGGGTTCAGAGTCTCAAAATAAGTGGACTATACTGAAAATACCTGCTAACCCTTTGAGATTTAAATGATAGAAATTCACTAAAAATAGGGACATTATCACCAGGAAAAGATGAATGGTTAGGGTGGATACTAGAAATAGATAATGGAAATCTAAAAAGATATAAGAACAGAAATTAATTTATCCCAGAAAATAAATAACAGAATAACTTTGCATTTATTTATTTATTTGTATATTTATTTATTTTTGATCAAGCAGGTACCTCCTCCTCCCATGAGTGATCTACCATTGAACTGCATCCATAGAGTGATGTCTTTATATTAAGCAAAGAGTTGCTCCACGTGTTCCATGCATCTTCTAAGCTCTTTCCTGTGGACATCTTTGGTAATTTGTATCGCCTACGGAAGTGGCACTAAGCAGGGCAGATTGAGATAAGAACCTTTAAAGGTCACGATTTCTGTGTGGACAAAAACAAATGCAGACACAGCCTGAAGAGATGCGTAGGTTTTAGGAAGACACTGGATTTAGGGGAATCTTGGAGCTAAGTGTCCCACAGCTGTCCCATAGCACGTATTTTCTGTTCAGACAGAAACTGAACCTTATAACAGTGAAATGAGAAAAAAGAGGCACATGTATGGAGAACCACACAGTTCTCTCAACACTGTCTCATACCTTTTCCATTTACCTCTGTTAAACCCAGATGCACATTAATTTTCATAAAGTTCAAATAGGCATGTTTTATTTTTCTGTTTCCAATTGGAATAATGTGAGGCCTTGAAATGCTCCATATCTGTTATCTGAAGTTTAGCTTTTCTCCTGTATAATGAAAACACCAGGTACTTAGCTAATTAAATGTGGTACTCTTAGAACCTTGTTTATAGGAAAGTGTCAACTTTCAGGATGTTTTGTGTAGGTCTTGATAAAATTATGCAGAAAATGACCATGTATGTTCTCTTCATAAGCTGACCTTGTGATTACCACCGCCTGAAAATGGCTCAAAACAAAAATGATCTAAGAATTGAAACAAGATAAGATCAAATTGATGTCATGGTAATTACACCAAGTACCATTCAATCATTGAATGAAATTTATTGTTGATCCCTGGACTTAGAGGCAGGTGGGAACATGCAGTTTCTATTACTCTGCTGGTATAAAAGAAGGGCGAAGACTTTATTAATTGCAGTTCCTGAGAAATCACAAGAAAAATTAAAATTCCTCTTCAGACCTACAGTTGACTGCCTTGAACACATTGTTGAAAAAGATCAGAAGAAGGTAATTTGAATGAAATAATTTGGGGAATTTAATTGAGGAGTAAAGTATTTAAAAATAGAGGGGAGCTTTCAGAGTCTATGCATAAAGAGAATTAGTAAGAAGAGAATTAGTAAGAAGAGAATTAGACATTTACTCATTCTTTTTTCAGTACTCATGACTGAATTGTGAGGAAATCGCATAATTGTGGTCTTATCTAACAAAAGCCAGAAACCAAATGTCTCTTGCTGATATACTGGAGTGCTTGTCAATATCTAAAAATTTTCTTCAAGAATTACTGAATGTCATTTAGAAGGCATTGTTTTGAGTGGCTTCCAGCAGCCAGGCAGAGAACAAGTAGACATTAAGTTGCTGATATTGTTTTATTATTAGTTTTTAAATGATGTATAGCTATATCTTCAAGTTTTCAGGCAATAAAGCAGTTCAAGTCTGATTATACTTTGAGTAAATATTCTTATGTGGGCTTTGAATAGTAACACTGGAATTTCTTAAATATTATTTCACTTTCTTTTTCCATAAAATACTGTAGAAATAACAGTTGGTATTTCTCCAAATGTTATTAATGACTTTTCAATAATAAATTACTTGCCCAAGTCTAATTGAGTAGTTTCAGAAAACTTCTTTCTATCTTTATAGCTGGCCCTCCCTAACTGCAGATTCTACATTCGAGGATTTACTAGTTGCCTTGGATTGAAAAACAAACAAACAAACAAACTTGCACATACAGATTTTTTTCCTTATAATTCCCTAACTATAATATGACAAATATTTACACAGTATTTACAGTGTACTAAGTATTGAAAGTAATCTAGAGATGATTTACAGTGTATGCCAGTATGTACATAGGTTATATACAAGGAACTTACTCAAGCATCCAGGGATTTTGGTATATTGGGGATGGCAGGAAGGAGGGGAGGTGTCCTGGAACTCCCCTCCCTACACATAGTGAGGATGAGTGAAGTAATATTTGCATTAGCACTAGTTGAAGTGGTGATAGGTCAGCAAATTGAGTTTAGGAAAAAAAATGTGCACTTTTTTCCCTGATGGTGAGGTTGAGAAATGGGATTTGGGCACGTGTGAAGTGCTGTGGGTCTGGTACAATTTGGTCTCTTGGGCCTGTAGAAACTCCATTTCATCTCCTTAGGAATTTTTGTTTCCAAAGTTCTAAAAATTTTTTTTCACTCATAAGTAAGATATTTTACATTTAAGAGAAATCTGTTATAGTTTCTGAAGATTTATTTTAAATAATTATTTGATTTAATATCAATTTAATTATTCAAAATATTGGTCACTCAAATTGCATTGTAACCTTTTGCTATAGCCTTGAATTATCATTATTAGTATTGTTTTGTGGTGCTGAGTATCAAACCCAGGGCTTCTCACATGCTAGGCAAGCACTGTATCATTGAGCTATAGCCCAACCCCTGTGTTATTTGAAAAAGGTAAGAGTAGTTACCATTTACGAGAGGTTTATGTGTTTTCATTTCAATTTCAACTTTGGTTTTCTTAAGTTTGTTTATTTATTTAATTTTACATTAACAGAGTTGGATTTTTGTTTACTTTCTTTTTTTTGTGCTGTTGAGAATTGAACCCAGGGCCTCACGAGTGCATTATCCCTGAGCTGTATCCCCAGCCCAAGTTAATATTTTACCTAAATTATAAATAAATAGTAAAATAAAAGATAGATAATAGGAGGTAGGGAGATAGAGTTTTCTCAAATGGGAAGGGGATCAAGAGATGGAGGGAGGGGGGAAAAGGGATTAAAAAAAGGAATTAGGATGTGTTATGTACAGGTACTAACTCCACACAAGGAATGTAAGGATTATGTACTGCAAACATGTACTAGTAAAAAGTAAGTGAGTGATATTTCTTACTATTTCTTGATAGGAATGGTAGCATGTTTTAGGAGAATAATTGATTATGTTTCAGGACAGATTTCTTAATTTCACTGTACCTTTCTTTTTTTTTTTTTGTACCGGAGATTGAACTTGGGACTTTGTGCTTGTAAGGCAGGTGGCAGAACCACTGAGCTAAATCCCCAGCCCTATACATTTATTCTTAATGTGAGACTCAAATTTACATGAAAACTCAAGAGTTGGGAAATAGAAATAGCAAAATTTAGAAGAAAACGTACATGCTGGTCAAAAGCAGGTTAGTTTTCCCTTCCAAAAAGAAAATGTACAGGAATCAACTAATGTTTCCATTGCTTCGATTTTATATAGATCGTGAATCCTGGAGTAGTTTGCCATCAACTTGGGATCCTTGCAAATTCTGATTTTGGTGTGTAGCATTATAGCAGTACCATTGTAATGTTACACAAAGTAATTCAACAATTCCTTGATTCATCAGACTCACAGAGGACATTATTGAAATGTTCCAGCATCTTAAGTCTAATACTCGGAGGCTTAAGGGGGAAGTGGTACTTGGTTGGACTATGAGTGGAATTAAGGGCAATATTAGGAGTCCAATTAGAAAAAAACAACAACTATAACAGCATGATACACACATTAATCAGTCATAAAGGAAGATATAGATTCACTTCTAGCCACAGAGGCAGCACAAGTGGAAGGGCGCAGTCTTAGGATCAGATTGCTTTGTGAATGACTGGCAAATATTTTAAATTATCTGGCATGTAGTTTACTACTCTGAAATAGATGCTGTATAATGCTTTCCTCATAGATGTATAAAGAGAATCAAACAAGTGAATGTATGTGAAAGCCAATGCTTTTTTCCTCTTTCCCTCTTCCCTACAAAACAGTAGTCCTCATACATTGTCAGTAAGTAAATGCCTGCACCAACCCTCTTTATCCAAATGTAATAGCTTTTTAAAAACAGTTCTGGAGAACTGAAGTCAAATGATATCTAAAAAAAAAATCACAAGGGCAAATTATATTTAAGTTGGCACATAATAATATTGCTCTTAAAAAATGATGTTAGTGTCTTATTTAGGAAGAAGCCATCTGAAAAGATTGGGCTTGGGGTGTGGATCAGAGCCTAGCAGTCTTGAGGACCTGTGTTGGGTCCACAGTACAGGGTGTGTGTACATGGAGGAAGGAAGGCAGTATGTAAGATGTGGCTCAAAGCTTGGAGTCTGGAATTGACATTTAAAAATCTTGGATCTGCAGTAACTAATTATGTGAACTGTATTGCTTACTTCACTTCTAGCATTTCTCTATCTGTAGAAAATAAAATAAAACAACGTAAGGTTAGTGTATTTGTGTGTTCAAGGTGCACCAAAGAATGTCTAACACATAAGTACTCAATTAGTGGTAGGTGTTATTTTTAAAATATAAGGTATAATATAAGGTATAAGGAGTTATTTTTAAAATATAAGGTTACTAAATCCAGTATTAAAGTACTACGTAGAATTCTAACTCCAACTTTTTGTTTTGTTACATTTTTTAACAGATTAATTGAATATGTGTCATACAAATACTCCCCCTGTCATCCTCACCCTTCCTAACAGAGGAAAAGTACAAGGAGAAAGTAGAGGCAAGATTGTGTCACCTTTTTTTGACTTCTGAGAAATTTTTATTGTAAGAGATAACAGTTCTTCCAGTTATCTCTTGCTGTGGTACATCAAACTACCTAAAAACTGAGTGGGTAAAACAACAAATTATTACTATTTCTAAAAGTCATTTGGAAGACTGGGCTCAGCTGAGCAGTTTTTAATTTGGATTTCTTGGGCAGTACAGTCAGTGGCTGAGGCTGGAGTTACCTGAAAGCTCAATAGGAATGGTTTCTTCATTCGCACGTCTAATCGCTCATTACTCCTTGGACTCTTCTCTCATCCTCCAAGGCCTCTCCATGTGGCTTGAACACTTATCTCATGGCGGTCTCAGATTAGAGACATTTCTTACATATCAACTGGTTTCAAGGGGACAGGAGGCAGGTCAGTTAAGGGATGCATCCACAATTTTCTTAGTCATTTCTGCTGTGTTCTAGTGGTATAGGCAGACACAGGACCTGGGTGGGTCAAATGAGGGGCAGATATTACTTTTTTTTTTGTACCAGGGATTGAACAGGTAGGTGGTGGAACCACTGAGTTAAATCACCAGGCCCGATACTACTTTTTGATATAGAAGTGGCAAGGTCATATCGTTGAGAAATATTTTTGTGGCCCTCTTCAGAAAGTGCAACCTGCAGTGAAAACTTTAGGGCAATGAACAAGGGGACTTCCCTTTGCAGCTCATCAGCTGTTTTTAATCATAGAAAGTTATTCTTATTAAATGAAGGATTGATTAATCAATAATCTTGTTCTGTTTATCCTACTATTAAAAGCTTCAAGACAAATTAAATATGTTTTTCTGATTTAGTGTCTTTTTTTCCTTGTGCTGGGGATTGAATCTGGGGCCTTAGTGCATGCTAGGCAAGTGCTCTACCACCAAGCCACATCTGCCCCAGATGCTGTAGTGCTTTCAAATGTGAAAGGTACTTGGTGCTTCAAAATGGCTCAAATAAATGCAACAAATATAATGCACAAATTTAATAAGCTACAAGAAAGATTCTTATACTACCATAATATTATACCTTATAGTATTTTTCTGGCCTTTGGATTTTTTGGGGGGGCAGGGTTTCACTATACAGTTAGGCTGGCCTTGAATTCACTATGTAGCTGAGGCTGGCCTTGAACTCACAGTGATCCTCCTGCCTCAGCATCCCCAGTGTTGGGATTAAAGGCATATGCCTCCACATCCAGCCTTTGGATGTTTTACTTTACAGATACAAAGATAGATTGATGCTGTCAATTGTTTCATGACTAATAGTATATATTATTACAATAAATTTTGTTGAGTTTTAAAGCTTGAATATTTTAAAGCAAGAAGCACTGGAATTTCTCCTGTAAAAGAATATTTTATGGTACATAGAGTTTGTCTTTTCAAAGTTTCTTATTGATTTTTTCAATATAGATTTAGCATGCAGAAATTTTTTTAAAATGCTGATGTGCTAGAAAATCAGAAGGGTAATGGAAAAAACATGATTTTAATTACATAATTACATTA